ACAGGGAGGGCCCTGAGCCGAGGCTGCCTGGTTGTTGCTTGTTTTCTTTCCGAGCCGGAAGTGCCCTTAGAAATCACCTGGGGAGGCAGCTGGGGAAACTGAGGCGAGGCGGAGCGCTGGGGCCGGCTCCTGCCTCCCGGCTCCCAGCCCTTAGCTGTCACCCAGCTCCTCCTTTGGTGAGTGAGGCCACTGCTCTGGTCCCGGGAGGAGAAGGTACTCGCTCAAGGTCACCTGGGATCCCTGGGCTTCCCTGTTCCCACGCAGCTCCCCCGGCACCCCTCACCCCCTCTTTCCTTGCCCCAGGAGCCTCTGCGCTCCTAGCAGACCCTCAAGCTGCAGCAAAGCCCAGGCCCCCAGAGTTACAGGCGGGCCTGACTCCTCACCCAGCATCTGTTGTTAGAGGAGGGAAGAATTGCTGCTACTAACTTTAGGGTGGATTCTACAGCTCAGTGAACTGACGCTCAGAGAGATGGGGTGATTTCCCCAAGACCACACAGCAAGGGAGAACAGGATAAGAACCTGGGTTCCCCCACCCTGCAGCCTGACCCAGTGCCTGGCACAGAGTAGGCCTTCACAGTGCCCTTCTCTGCCCTGCCCTGGGTCACAGAGGGAGTCAGGAGCACAGCCAGGCTAGAGCCAGGGTCTTGGCCTAGAGCAGTGGTTCTCAACCTTCCTAATGCCTCGACCCTTTAGTACAGTTCCTCATGCTGTGGTGACCCCCAATTTCATTGTTACAAATTGAACATAATTAAAGCATAGTGATTAATCACCAAAACAATATGTAATTATATATGTGTTTTCTGATGGTCTTAGGCGACCCTTGTGAAAGGGTCGTTCCACCCCCAAAGGGGTCGCGACCCACAGGTTGAGAACCGCTGGCCTAGAGGCTACTGACTAACACAGAATAGGAGTCAACAGGCTAGTTTTCCTTTTCCTAATCCAGTGTTCATTTCACTGCAGAAAACAGGAAACCCCTTTAGGGGCATCCATTCATTCATTCAGCAAATATTTATTGAGCACCTACTGTGTGCTGGTGTGTGCATTGTTTAGGCCCTGAGGATACAGCAGTGAGCAGACAAGTGCCGCCCTCCAGGAGTACACCCCAAAGAGTGGACTAGAACACTGCCCTTCAGTGGAGGGTGAGGGGGTGGGTAGGGGGGCGGGGGGGACTGGGCAG